AGAGTAAAAACTCAATTGCCCAAAAAGTTATCTGGAGCTCTGTACAAAATTGTACGTGTACTTACATCTTACATGTGTATGTAGCTCACCTGAACCAGTCTTACAAATTTGTACATGTACTTGCATGTTACATGTCTATAGCTCACCTGAACCAGATTGTTTCAAAATTGCACATGTTACATAGCTAACCTCAACTGTAGCAGATTGTTAATTGCCTAAATCAGAAATAGGCACACACACACACACACACACACACACACACACACTCACACTCACACACAGAGGATATCTTACATGCCTAAATCAGAAATAGGAAAAGGGTGTCCATCCTTGAAAATATTTGAGTCAACAGTCACATTGAATTGTACAAGGCCCTTATTCAAAGATACTGTTATCAGATCACTCCTATTATATGGTATCACGGTTAAGGGTCATTAGTAATACCAAGAGAAAAGCTTTGTGTGGAATTGCCATTTCAACCAGGAGATCTAAACTACCCATTGGGGCCATTGTTGACTCAAGGGACGCCGTGGTCACTAAAGTGGCTTTCATCACGCTATGGTCCAATTATCCCAAATTGTTGTGATTTATTTAGTGGAAGCTGTGGCAGTATGCTTCACACAATAGTCAGCCGTAGGTTGGTGTTGATGGGGCCTCGCTATACGTCCTGCTGCTGACGAGGGGGCACCTATTTGTCATGACTTAAAAGGATACCGGGAATGTCGTGTGTGACTGACCATCATCGGTATGTGGTCATTACTTTATTGGTCAATAGGGGTTGGGTGGCCTCATGGTTAAGGCGTTTGCTCGTCACGCCAAAGGCCCGGGATTGATCTTTAAGGCCCAATATTTTATTTATGAATAAGGACGCCTCTGTGGTCTTGTGGTAGAGCGTCCGCCCGGAGAGCCAAAGGTCCGAGGTTCGATCCCCGGCCGCGTCATACAAAAAGACATTAAGAGATTGTACTTGTTGTTACCCTGTCTGGCGCTCGGCATTAAGAGGCTAAAACAAGGACTGGTCGGCTCGGAGTCAGTATACTGTGTATTCATGTTAAACTGCGGCATGGTATCTCAGTGAGCTAGCACTATAAATCGGCATCAGTCCGGACTAGTACAAGCAGCCACACACACACATACACGTGCATGCACGTCACTCTATAAGTGCAATAATCTTGGATGCGACGTTAAACCCAATTTCACCTCACCTCTTATGAATAAATGAAGGGGAGGTCGGGTAGCTGGTGATTAAAGCGTTTGCTCGTCACGCCGAAGACCCTGGTTCGATTCCCGACATGGGTACAATGACTGAAGCCCATTTCTGGTGTCCTCCGCCGTGATATTGCTGGAATATTGCTAAAAGCGGCATAAAACAACACTCACTCATTTATAAAGAAAGAAATAATTGACATTTATTTTTATTTTTTTAGACCGACCTTGTGTGTCAAAGCTGGAATAAATCCGTGAAACATAAGATTAAAAAGTGTAGCCTTATTAATTATTCTTTCAGGTAACTTCAATGGGTTAACTTGACCAAGTGTTTTCTGAATCTTTATGTGCTTGTCTTAATGTGTGACTAAAGTAAACATGTTATAAGTCATACCCTGTACACAGAGGTTATCAAAGTAATAACCTGTCAGTATACGACCACTTCGAGCTTAATCCACATATATTGGCCCTTTGGAGATCCATTTAGAATAAGTCTTCAGCCACTCATGCTTGTCGTAACAGGCGACTATGCTTGTCGTAAAGGGGCAGCTAATGGGATCTGGTGGTCAGACTCGCTGACTTGGTTGATGCATGTCATCGTATCCCAATTGCGTGGATCGATGCTCATGACATCGATCACTGGATTGTCAGTCCAGACTTATTTACAGACGGCTGTCATGTAGCTGGAATATTGCTGTGAGTGGCAGTAAAAACAAACAAACAAACAAACACACATGTAGCAAAATGGTAGGGTTCATGTTAATTTACTGTAAATTAATTTCTTATACTCAGAGGATGGTGTGAACAGGTGAACAAAATGGCTGTAAATTCAATTTCATTTCATTCACAAACCGATAACAAGCAAGCATATCCTGATGCGTTGGCTGATGTAGGCGTACAATTCGATCCATTCAGGGATAAATTTGCCTGCACAGAGAATTGAAATGGAAGAAGGTCATATTTCTGCTTTCATCAGCTGCAACCAATTTAGTGCAATAACTTACAAACTGATGGACATATTATCTGATGATAACCACTCGATATTGATCCCTGCTTCCGGCTTCCGGCTGACGGCCAACAGTACAAGGTGAAGGTCACTTTGGTGTATCCCGAGTTATTAGATTGTGACTTGCTCTTTCGACATGTTAGAGAAATATTTTGTATTGAGTGCTGCAGTTTGTGTCAGGATGACTTGACTTGTGCGCTGGGTACATTGTGTGAGCCCATGCTGTCCTTGGCGGGACACCCTAAACACCACTGGGCTTTGATTACAGACATTGGATAATGTATGAAACGGATTGCTTGGGTTCATGATAACGCTTAATACAATAACTAGCTCACCACCCGCTAACTCACTCTCCCACTCTCCCACTCACTCACTCTCCCACTCACCCACTCTCCCACTCACTCACTCTCCCACTCACCCACTCTCCCACTCACTCTCTCTCTCACTCTCCCACTCTCCCACTCACTCACTCTCCCACTCACTTCATTAGACTGACAAATAGTCCCCAAAATAAAGTTACGTAAGTCAAGTTTTATTAATCCGACAATTGGCTTTATCCGACACTAATGATGGGAACCGATTAAATCAGTGCTATTTAGATCCGTTAATCTGACAGTCTCGCACTCCGACTCCGACACACCTAATTTGCAATGAATTTCCAAAATCACTTATTAATCAGTCTCGTTAATCCAACGCAGTGATCAGCGTACTGCCCGCGAGTACACACCGCTGCATTATGATGCCCAAGAGTACACAGCCCGTGTTTGGTGCGAGACGAGTCGGCTAGTAGCTGCATATTACAACGGCTCCAAAGACAAACTTGCCTAACAATAAACAATTAATGTTTTGAATAAACATAACTGGATTAATGACATTTAATCACATGCTTAGAATACCTCAATCTCATTAAAATCAGATACAAGTTCTCGCTAAGGACATATTCATCTGCAACCAACCATGTCGGATTAACGGGACTTGACTGTATATGATTACATATACATGTTCTACAAGGGAACCCATGAGACTTAAAGGAATCTTTTAGCTGAGAGGGGGATGAGTCATCTTCCCGAGGCAAGGGAGTTAACTGACTATAAAAGTCCAGGGTATGAGAATAGGCTGCTAGAGCTGAGAAGGGGATGAGTATAGGCTGCTAGAGCTGAAAAGGGGATGAGTATAGGCAGCTAGAGCTGAGAAGGGGCTGAGTATAGGCAGCTAGAGTTGAGAAGGGGATGAGTATAGGCAGCTAGAGCTGAGAAGGGGATGAGTTTAGGCTGCTAGAGCTGAGAAACTGATCCCAGGCCACGTCACACCAAAAGACGTTAAAAGATGGTACTTGTTGTTACCCTGTCTGGCGCTCGGCATTAAGGGGCAAACAACAAGGACTGGTCGGCTCGGAGTCAGTATACTGTGTCTGAGTTGGGTATTCATGTTAAACTGCGGCATGGTATCTCAGTGAGCTAGCACTATAAATCGGCATCAGTCCGGACTAGTACAAGAAGCCACACACACAAATGTGCATGCACGTCGCTATAAAAGTGCAATAATCTTGGACACGACGTTAAACCCCATTTCACCTCACCTCATCTCCATGGGGAGTATAAAACCCAAGCTGCCTTCGGGCGCTAGAAGGTAAACAGTCTTGTTACAATCTTATCCTACTTGGTACCCATTCACTGCTGGGTGAACAAAGGCACATTTCAAACAAAGTCACTTGCCTACATGTGCTTCAGTATTGGCCAAGATGAAAACACTCAGGAATAACATTAGCAAAGTTCTGAAATAAAATTAAAAATTTTCTAAAATTTTACTGATATCTGACCGTTTGTGTTTCATTGTTGATAATACACACCAACCAACCACACGACCAACCAACCACACACACGTTGTGCGGAGGTCTGATATCAAGGCCATATTCAATAACGCTGTTATATTAAGTGAAGTGTCGTGTTAACGCATTTCCAAGTTGCCAGACACGTGATGTGGAATAAAGGTGCATTATGTCAAGCTACTTGCGTAGTGATTGGTTGTCTTAGAGGAGCACTTCCAGTTTGAATTAAAGTGCTTGAAAGTCAAGTGGTTCAAGTGTATGATTATCGTGCACAAGACTTTGGTTCGATTCTGCACACTGGCAGGCGTTGTTGAGTCAGTGATTGGCATTGCCTGCGGTCATTCTGTTCCATTGCTTCACTGAACCCACGAGAAGTACCTACAGATGTAGGCCCCCAAAATAGTAAAATGTGTTTTTCTGGTTTTCAACCAACTTTTCGCGCCCTGAACTTTAGCCATTTTGCTCTTTTTTCTTGAATTGCATTTAGCAACGATTCTTGCGTATCCTGAGTAGCATATCTTTGATACAAGAGAGCTTGCACAGACAGTCCCTGCTAATCTGCAATAACAGAAGGACTATTTTAAATCAGTATTAATGACCTGCAGTTGTTAAAAGAAGAAACATATTGATTGGACCCAACGGAATGTTGACCACGTGTTTGGCCAGTAGTGACAAGGTGTATATTTAATGACTACTTAACCTGTGTAAGAGGCATTACTTAGGCATGTATTAGTCTACAATATGCCAGCATGCTACAATGGCCTGACAAGCAATCTTTATACAGTTGTGTTGATAATCAAAGCAGCCGGTCATTAGAAGGGATGTACGAAGCTGATATCCTCCATATTGCTCGGCTCTATTGTTCCGTATTCACCCTACGTTACAATAGCCTGACAACTAATATTCATAGTATTGTGTTTGTTAATCTGGGATTGTGCTGATGTGTCTCTCTGGTTTCAGGTTCCATGTTGGGGAGGATATAGCAGCCACTGAACGCTGTCGATGTAGCCGAGGTGGATTGGATTACTTGCTTTAGTTACACTGGATCGAGGGGTCAACTAAAGGTGAATATTGGTCATGTGATGTGTCACATGGCAGTCATGTGACATAACCACAATTGATATTTTGGTGTACGTTTGTACTTTTCAGATCATTTTGCTGTTTGTGGATCATGTCTTGTTTATTTGTGATGATGTGTGACATGTTAATTATTTTATGTTTAAGGTGAAGCCCCTTTAATATTGACACTATTAATGTCATATATTGTTTATGATGATGTACACTGCCTCCATGGTCTAGTGGAGGTCTTCAGCAACCCATGCTTGTCCACCATGAAGATCCGGGTTAGAATAGGTCTTCAGCAACCAATGCTTGTCCCCCGTGAAAATCCGGGGTAGAATAGGTCTTCAGCAACCCACGCTTCTCCCCCGTGAAGATCCAGGTTAGAATAGGTCATCAGCAACCCATGCTGAGGCAACTAATTGGATCGGGTGGTCAGACTCAATGACTGGGTAGTTCCATGTCATTGTATCCAAATGGCGTCTCCGTCATATAGCTGGAATATTGCTGAGTGTAGCGTTAACTACAAACAAACTTCAGTGATACAGTTGTTAGCTGGATCAGGTGTTAAGTCATCACGGCGATGTCTTTGTTATTTTCTCCACATTCAGAAGACGAACTCCACTGTTGCCTTCTGACACTATCTCAGCTGCTAAAAATGACTTACAAGTTATGAGCACTCCCTCACTCATAACACAAGTGTATTTTCCCACAGAGTGTCAGCTTCCGTGGTCTAGTGGTAGAGCGTCCGCCCGGAGAGCGGAAGGTCCGGGGTTCGATCCCCGACCGCGTCATACCAAAAGACGTTAAAAGATGGTACTTGTTGTTACCAAGTCTGACGCTCTGCATTAAGGGGCTAAAACAAGGACTGGTCGGCTCGGAGTCAGTATACTGTGTCTGAGTGGGGTATTCATGTTAAACTGCGGCATGGTATCTCAGGGAGCTAGCACTATAAATCGGCATCAGTCCGGACTAGTACAAGCAGCCACACAAACACACACACGTACATGCACGCCGCTTTATAAGTGTAATAATCTTGGATGCAACGTTAAACCCCATTTCACCTCACCTCACCTCCCACAGAGTGGTGTAATGGTGCCTGTTGTAAATATGATGTAGCAGGATCCGTATTTTTGGAATATCTTAGAAACAAAACTGACAAAATGGAGCTTATTTACATGGCAATTTGTAACATCTGTTTGAACAATGCCATGAACCCTTGCAAACTAAAAAGGAAGGTTTTTTTCAAAATGCACCTGTGGAAGGTTTGTGAATAACATCCACTAAGTGTACAAATATTGCAAAGATAATTCCAAAGAAATTTTCAGTTAGGGTCTACTCATTGACATAAGACTAGTTGTGTTGAAAGTAGCAGCAACCTAAACCATCGGTGCACTGCAGGGCAGATGTGCTTTGCTTATTTGCCTAGTACCATGCACGGTTCATGCTTGGAAGATAATGTTTTCCAACACATGCTGTATGTTGAATTAAAGACAGTGTGTGAAAGCCAAACATTGTTGTTTGAAGTTCAGCTGACAGCCCACTGACTGCAGCTCAGGTGTAAGCAGTCATGTGGAGAATGGTATCTACAACCTGGTTCCTCATTAGGTGTGTTATCACATGTGGGTCCCGACAACTGGCAAGGGAAAGAAAAATAAAGAGCAGGTGTGGGAAATTTCTTCCTGAAAAACAGGCCTTTTTCATGGTTGTTTTTTCCCCGTCCTGATGCCAATAAAAGTCAAATAAAATATGTAAAAAATTGAAAGCTGAAACATTTGATTGACTGAAAGTTCAGGTGAAGTACTTTCACTGTGTTATTCTCGGGCTGGGATTACATGGACATCGTTATTTTTGGTTTGAAGACTATAAAAAAAATTATTTTCAGATGCATAACAAATATTATGTTTCTTCTTTATTTCTTGTGACATTAAAAAAATAAAAAAAGTATGTAAAATTTTGCAACCCCAGATATTTTATTCTGGTTCAGTGTGGAAAAGAAGGAAGTCTTCTCTAGTTTGGTTTCAGTATGGTGTGACATTTGAAGTATTTATTAGCCTGGGAAATGCTTGTGGGTAGTTCACTGGGCGATAGTTTCATGTCCTATTCACATTAATGCCTTGGGGAAGTATTTAAAGGGCAGTTCCCAGGTGTTTTTGTTGTTGTTGTTGTTCAGTTTGAAAATGATTCACATTAACGGTTGTTGATGACAAAGATTTTGAGAAGATAGGCCATTAACATGTGAGTATCCTGCTATATGCTCAAATGACAGATTATGTGGATTATATGGGTATAATGGGTACTTGGTGTGGATCGGAGACAATCTCATGACCATGACATGGCTGTTATATGTAGTACTTGGAGGGGTGAACTGGCTTATAGATGGTACTTGGAGGGGTGAACTGGCTTATAGATGGTACTTTGAGGGGTGAACTGGCTTACAGATGGTACTTGGAGGGGTGATGTGGCTTACAGATGGTACTTGGAGGGGTGATGTGGCTTATAGATGGTACTTGGAGGGATGAACTGGCTTATAGATGGTACTTGGAGGGTGATCTGGCTTATATATGGTACTTGGAGGGGTGATGTGGCTTATAGATGGTACTTGGAGGGGCGATGTGGCTTATAGATAGTACTTGGAGGGGTGATCTGGCTTATAGATGGTACTTGGAGGGGTGAACTGGCTTATAGATGGTACTTGGAGGGGCGATGTGGCTTATAGATAGTACTTGGAGGGGTGATCTGGCTTATAGATGGTACTTGGAGGGGTGAACTGGCTTATAGATGGTACTTGGAGGGGTGATGTGGCTTATAGATGGTACTTGGAGGGGTGATGTGGCTTATAGATGGTACTTGGAGGGGCGATGTGGCTTATAGATAGTACTTGGAGGGGTGATCTGGCTTATAGATGGTACTTGGAGGGATGAACTGGCTTATAGATGGTACTTGGAGGGGTGATGTGGCTTATAGATGGTACTTGGAGGGGTGATCTGGCTTATAGATGGTACTTGGAGGGGTGAACTGGCTTATAGATGGTACTTGGAGGGGTGATGTGGCTTATAGATGGTACTTGGAGGGGTGATCTGGCTTATAGATGGTACTTGGAGGGGCGATATGGCTTATAGATAGTACTTGGAGGGGTGATCTGGCTTATAGATGGTACTTGGAGGGGTGATGTGGCTCATAGATGGTACTTGGAGGGGTGAACTGGCTTATAGATGGTACTTGGAGGGCCGATCTGGCTTATAGATGGTACTTGGAGGGGTGAACTGGCTTATAGATAGTACTTCGAGGGGTGATGTGGCTTATAGATGGTACTTGGAGGGGTGATCTGGCTTATAGATGGTACTTGGAGGGGTGATGTGGCTTATAGATGGTACTTGGAGGGGTAAAATGGCTTATAGATTGTACTTCGAGGGGTAAACTGGCTTATAGATGGTACTTGGAGGGGTGATGTGGCTTATAGATGGTACTTGGAGGGGTGATGTGGCTTATAGATGGTACTTGGAGGGGTGATGTGGCTTATAGATGGTATTGGGAGGGTGATCTGGCTTATAGATGGTACTTGGAGGGGTGATCTGGCTTATGGATGGTATTGGGAGGGTGATCTGGCTTATGGATGGTATTGGGAGGGTGATGTGGCTTATAGATGGTACTTGGAGGGGTGATGCGGCTTATAGATGGTACTTGGAGGGGTGAACTGGCTTATAGATAGTACTTGGATGGGTCAACTGGCTTATAGATGGTACTTGGAGGGGTGATCTGGCTTATAGATAGTACTTGGAGGGGTGATGTGGCTTATAGATGGTACTTGGAGGGGTGATGTGGCTTATAGATGGTACTTGGAGGGGTGATGTGGCTTATAGATGGTACTTGGAGGGGTGAACTGGCTTATAGATGGTACTTGGAGGGGTGATCTGGCTTATAGATGGTACTTGGAGGGGTGATGTGGCTTATAGATGGTACTTGGAGGGGTAAACTGGCTTATGGATGGTACTTGGAGGGGTGATGTGGCTTATAGATGGTACTTGGAGGGGTGAACTGGCTTATAGATGGTATTGGGAGGGGTAAACTGGCTTATAGATGGTACTTGGAGGGGTGAACTGGCTTATAGATGGTACTTGGAGGGGTGATGTGGCTTATAGATGGTACTTGGAGGGGTGAACTGGCTTATAGATGGTACTTGGAGGGGTGAACTGGCTTATAGATGGTACTTGGAGGGGTGAACTGGCTTATAGATGGTACTTGGAGGGGTGATGTGGCTTATAGATGGTACTTGGAGGGGTGATGTGGCTTATAGATGGTACTTGGAGGGGTGAACTGGCTTATAGATGGTACTTGGAGGGGTGATGTGGCTTATAGATGGTACTTCGAGGGGTGATGTGGCTTATAGATGGTACTTGGAGGGCCGATCTGGCTTATAGATGGTACTTGGAGGGGTGAACTGGCTTATAGATGTTAGTTTTCTCCGAGTGAACTTAAGGATAAAGTTTTGAATTGATGAAACATCAACTGTCAGTGCATACCTTTTAGACCAGCAATAATGTACCGGTAGTTAGGATGCAATTGATCCTGAACGATGAGTTAAATCCTGGCTGAAGTGTGGACTATGTGATACGGATGTTGTATACAATAGCATATATGCGTGTAATATCCTGGCCCAGATGTGTGAACTATGTTATACGGATGTTGTATACGGATGTTGTATACGGACATGATATCTGTCTGCATATTAACATAGTAATTACCATAGTCAACATAATAAGCCTCCTTCACACTCAGGAAATTGTCGAGAGGACCTTTAAGGACTGGATGTTGAATAGAAACAGAAATAACGTTGTCTTGTTTGGAAATATATATCTGCAAACTATAAAATCAAATCCAAATGGCTTCCAGAACAATGCTTAATTTCTACCTTGCGCTGAAATTGAGTGGATCGATGCTCATGATGTCAATCACTGGATTGTCTGGTCCAGACTCGATTATATACAGACCGCCTCCATATAGG